AGACATTATCCCATTAAAATGATGCATCACATGGTGAATTCCTTTAACTGTGTTTTTGTCCATTATTCTTCAGCTCTTTTGTTTAATTCCCATCTCCCAAAGCCACTTCACCCTTATCCCTCCTATTTCTGTTTTCACCCTTTTCTTACCTACGCATCTTTCTTCATATTGCTGCTGGTCTTTCTCTTTTCCTGTCTCCTGATGGGGTGGTTAGTGAAGCACCACCAGTTCTCAGGAAGGCCTTCTCTTCACTAGGGAATTTTCAGAAAACATTGCTACTGGTGCTATTACTATTGGGAGCCCTAATTTAGGAAAAGTTCTGGTGGGATCCAGCATTTTGAGCAGCTGAAAGTTGTAGCACAGGTGGGAATTTCCCCTTAAAAGTCCATAGTATAGATATGACTGAAGATGCTTGATTTCACTCATGGCTCGTGAATGTTGTTTCTTGAAGTCTTGATTCACACTTGGAAGCATCACACTTTGTTCGTGATCTTTTGTCAAGCTGACATTTGGTTACTCTTGAATATTTTATAAATAAGTATCAATTTTATACAGTTAGTCATCTGTATAACCATTTATCTATTATATATCTCTGTGTGACACCCAGTCATGTAAGTGGATCATGTGGGAGGATCTGTGCCCATGAGGAGTTCCGTTAACTTTTGAGACACTGATCATGAAATTAAGAGTTTGCCTGCATGAATCAGGTTGCAGAGTCAGGGCTTTTGTACAGTGCCATAAGCATTTATGGTGCTTTGGAGACGAAAAGTGACATGGCCTCTGCTCCAAGAGCTTAAAGTCAGTACTCTGTTTGAGGGCAACTAAATGTCTTGATCCCCATTACTGCAAATTCTGATTGTTTTAATGGTGTGGGGATTTGGAACATGCATTAGAAGGGAGGTAGATGAAACAAAGTGGTATTATGAAACATTCTGTAAGTTAGCCATTATATACAGTAAATAAATTTAATAACTTCATTTGGACTCTGTAGAGTCTATACATTTGTTTTTCTTATTTTTAGCCATCTTAGGAGTGAACAAGTGCCTTCTATACAGTAAGTGTTCAGTTATATTCTCTATTCTCTACCACTTTCCAGTCCAAAGCCCTGTAACATTGACTTTATTGATTTCTAAAATGCCTATTGTGGCAGCAAAGTGCTTAATCATAGGAAAACAGGAATTGCCATACTGGATCAGTAGAGCCCTGCAAATCTGCAGACATCCGCTTTATATCTATGGATATCTGCATCTGCGGGTGCAGTGACTATCCGCAGACCATGTTTGCAGATCTTGGATGGATAAGGATCCAAATTTTATATCTAGAGCTCTGCAAATCTGCAGATATCCACTGACCATGTGTGTGGATCACGGATTGGATTCAGATACAAATTTTATATCCTCACAGAGCTCTATGGATCAGACCCAAGGTCTGCCTAGTCCAGTATTCTGTCTCTTACAATGGCCAGCACTAGATGCTTCAGAGGAGGGAATAAGAACCCCATAGTAGGCAATGTGGGATAATCTGTCCCCCTCCCCAACACACATAGCTCTCATCATGGTATCTAATAGCGATTGGCTTAAGCCCTGAAGCACAAGGTTTAATATCCCTTCCAAAATGTTTGTTGTAGTTAGTTATGATTGTCATGCTGCCTAGTATGGGACGCAGCTAAGAGCACCAGTTTCAGGTCAGACTGCCATAAAAGAGGGCATGTACCCCAGACTGGTGGTCTATTCTATCATAAAATTTCACCAAGCCAGTAACAAATGTTTGCTTCCAAAATACTATACTAGTTATAATGAAGCCAAAGACAGCCCCCTTTCAGGCTCTCTAGCCTCTCATGTACCAAACCAGACTTCTTTGTTAAATTATTATTAAAACCAAGAATCACATATACTAGGTTCTTCCAGTTCTAAAGAACCAGACACACACCCAGGTCAAATATATTTCAGCTCTTCCCCAAAACCCATGCCAGTAGCGAATCCTTTAGTAACTACAAAACTAAAGGTTTATTAATATATAAAAAAGAAGAGAGTTATTAAGAGGTTAAAATGAATCATATGCATTACAGTTGATTGCAGAGTTTGTAGATCAGGATAATAGCAGTGATTTTAAATCTGCCAGTTTGCAAAAATCTCTCTGGTTCTCCCCAGATATTGGGGTCCTCAGGTCATTGTTCAAAGCTCTTCATTGTTAGAAATCATAATCCAGAGATGTGGAGCAGGAAAGAGGCAAGGGAATGATGTCACACTCTCCAATTTATACCCCGCAGTCCATGTGCATGAAAAGTTACTATCTCAAACATGGAATCAGGCATCACATGTTCTACACGCCCTGATGAGTCAGTGGGCCTCCATTGTCCATATGCTCTCTGAGGCATCCTCGAGAGAGGCCTATTAGAAGAGTTGATTCTCCTTAACCATGTCTGGCTGGTCTGGATATAAATCTATCTTGTCGGTGTTACCCAAACACATAGCAAAGATTCATAACTTCCTACACGTTGATAATACACACAGCATACACAGGAAAACATTGTTCAACAGATTGCAAATTTTCCAATGATACCTTACAAGGCATACTTTATACAAGAGCTATTGCAATTGTATAACAGTTGTAACAACAATGATATAAATGGTGACCTTCCTTTTTATACAACATCACAATGATAACCGTGGGTATTTTCATATCCGTATAACTATCCAATCCCTCTTTGAATCTTGTTAAATTATGGCTTCAGCAATTTCCTGAGTCAGTGAGCTTCACAGTTTAATCACATGTTGTGTGAAAAAGTATTTCCTTATATTGGCTTTGAATTTCCCACCCTTTAATTTCATTTAATGTCCCCTGAATTACTTGCTTACTTTTAATATGTACTTCATGCTTAAGTGATATGCTGAATCAGAGCCTTCTGGTCTTCTCCAAAGCCCATGAAAATCAATAGAAGCCTTTCTATTAACTTTGGTGGGTTTTGGATCAGGCCCTTAGCGTCCAGTCCGTTCCTCATTGAAACCAGCGGAAAGACTCCCATTGACTTCAGTGGGAGATAGATCTGGCCCCTATTTAAAGTCGAATTATGCTACCCTCACTTTCACAGAATATCACCTTATCTTGTGGGTAGTCTGATTGCTATTAGTAAGTGCAGTACAATTTGACCCATGCAGAATAAGTAAAATGTAGAGAGATTATCACTCATTTACATGAACATCAAAATGAGTTTAAGGGAATATTATCATAAATCGCTACACTGAAATGTATTACCAATACCTTCCTTTTTTTGTGTACTTATAATTTATATGTAAAGTTTGTCCTTAAATTTTGGAAATAAAATAAATCACCAAAAATTCCATATACTTATGAAGACAAAAACCAAAATAAATGAAAAACAAAAATTAAACACTAAACTAAAACATATCTTGCATCTTGTCATGAAGCTAACTTGGGCTGTAAAATACAATTGCAGATAATCATTAGATGTACAGTAAGAGATGAGACTTATAGAAGGATTTGTTCTAAAGTCTTTTTCCATCTCTGGTCATTGATATTTTTGTTACAGTGACAGGAAGGCTAATCAGTGACTGGCCATCTCTCATTATAGACCACTGCCAAACGGAACTCCTTTTCACAGAAAAACTTCTTTAATCACAGACACAAATACAAATCTAGAATTTTTAAAAAGTATAATCCTTAACTGAGATCAATTACTATATGCTCTTACTTTTATTGATGTTTTTTAATTACATGTGGTTTGAGATGTTTAGATTAAAAGTGTCACCGTATACTGTAAATCTGGTTGTATGTATAATGTCTAGCTTTCACTTGGGCTGTGAAATACAGTTGTAAATGTTATCAACAATATTCAATACCTATTAACCCCCCCCCAGCCTCCTTAATGTAGTGCCCTACTGTATCTCTTTCCTTACTCTCCATTACCTTATTGATATGCCATTCTAAGTGATGAGGAACAAATATGCTTTTTAGAAACTTTAGCACAATATTTTTGTGTGCTATTGCTCACTATAGCAGCAATGAAATTTATTTTGCTTTTTCAGAAAGGCTAATTTAAATAGGTTGTGCTACCTTTTGATAGATAACCAATCAATCAACTACTCCTGACAAGTAACACAAAGTAAATTTCCATTCAATAAATGTAACAAATAGCTAACTTTCTTTCCCCCTTTAAAATCCTGTTTCCCATCCCCATTAAAATTTTGTCTCTTGGGGCCTGCCAGCAGATCTTGCAATACCTACATTAAACCAAATTTAAAAGTAAGGGTGCTCCTGCTGCTAACGTCTTCAGATCACAGATGTGCAAAATGAAGGAACTGGCAGCTGAAGCTTTAATGGTGGGAAGTGTAGGTTGAGTACTTGAGAGGAAAGAACACAATAGCTCTATGTGACAAAAAAGTCCTGTTAACATTTATGTACTTCAAAAAGAGAAAGTAGACTGCTCTATATAGCTATGGGGGCTTTTTGGTTTTGTTCTCCATAAGTAAAAGCCTGTGTTCATATAGCATTACATATAGTTATAAAGTTAAGTGGTTGTTTCTATTATTATTTATTTTGTAGGATAATACAATACCTGCTGTTGCATCATTATTACACATTGCATGTTTTATCATTTCTGTATTTTACTTATCTATTTAATAAGATATTATTGACATTTGAGAGCCCATAGACCCTTAAAAAAGCCTGATTCTGATCTCAGTTAAACCCATCTAAATCAGTAGTACCGCAATGCAGTTACAAATGAGATCAGAATCAGTCCCGGACATTATGTTCCAATCCAGTAACTACAAGGATCCAATCCTGCAAAGACATATGCACATTAATCACATGTGCAAGTTTTTGCAGCATAGGGACCTAATTTTACATATTATGTAACAAAAGGGGAAAAACAGTAAACGGGGAAAGACTGGAGAAGGGTAAGGGATCATTAATCATAGGTCACAGGAAAGACACTATTATTTTAAATTTTATGTATATATTATTTTTTTTAGTTCAGAATGAGTACTTTGCCTCCTGTGCTGATACAGTGTCCAAAGAGATATCCCAGCCTCGTAGAGCAGATGGATTGCCCTTCAATAAAACTTGCAAGGTATGTGTGTCTCTTATTGACTTTTGGAAGACTAACACTTTTGTTGTAAATATCTTCAATCAGATATGTTAAAGAGAAGACAAATTATGGTTTGAGTAGTAGGGATATTTTAAAAAGCAAAAGTTTAAGACAAGAAAATCATCTTTTTAGCAAAGTTATATGCACATAATGAATAAAAGGCAATAGGAAGCGCAAACTCACTTGTCTTTTTAAGACAGAACAATAAAATCTAAATGATCTTCTTGTCATCTAAAGTATAATGTATTGAAAATGTCCATATTTGAATTGGCATCATCTAATCCACAAAGTTGCCTGCAGTTTCAGTAAAATTGTTAAATTCAATGAAATTTCAAGATGCTGCTTAAAGAATGAAGAAAAGCTTTCGAACAATCAGTGAAGTATGTAAAGGCAGGAGAGATTAGTACCACCATTTTTCTTTGGCATTATGATAGATTTCAAAAGAGCTCTATTCATGGTATACACTTTCTCCTAAATTTTCAAAGGAGTTCTTTCCTCTTAGTAGGTATTTCATTGCTAAATCTTTATTTGCCTCTTTGAAAATGTAATCTTTTGGATTAAAAAAATAAGACTTTATCATTTTGACTTTGCATGGGAAGGAAGCATCCCTATATCTCTCAAAATATAATGTATACAAATTGTCATGAAAAAATTACCCAACACTTGATAGTTCAAGGACTAAACCTATTCACCAGGCTGAAATACACCAGTGCCTCAAATCACACTCCCTACCAAGTCATGTCTCCAGCTACCTGATCTGCCATTAGTTAGTTGCTTTCCACTGCTTAGGTTTGAAGACCCTAGTCTCCCACTGGTTGAGTACTGAGATCCCAATTAATGCTGCTCCCCACTCCAAATAAATCAGTTAATATTGGGTCACAGTAAATTAATGGTAAGCAGCCACTTAACCTCCCACAAATCAATTTATTTCAGTCCTAAAAAGAGAGCTCTCTGCATTGAGAGATGCGTCAAGGCTGAGGTTTTTCTTCCTCCTGGACCAGACTGCAGTATTTAGAGACTGAGAACAGAATGTAGTGAGCTGAGGAGCAGAGAGGCTCCAGCTGGCCTGAAGACCAGCAGTGGCAGGACTCCTGTCTGGTTTAACAGAGATCTCTTGTATGGGACAGTCCTTGTCAACATCCTCTAAACAAACAGAGAATTCTGTATGGGATAGGTGTGGGGGAAGGATGGATGGAAGCAGCCTCTTGCCAACCTAGCACAGGGCTCCTTGCTATTGTCACACCCTAGTAGAGTACTCTGTTGGGATGGTGGCAGTGGAGCTCCCCATACACAGAATCCTCTGTTGGGGTAGTAGGTACCCTTGTTGGCAGAGTAATTTTGATGTGGGCCCCATATCAACACATAGATCCCTTTGCTGTGATGGTTTGTCCCCCTTAGAATTCCTTCTGAGGGAGGCAAACGCCCACTTCCCTCTGTACCAGAAGGTAGGAATAGCAGCCCCCTCTGGTTATTTTAGTCCTAACAGTAGTAGCCCCTCTCCAGTCTAATGATAGCAGCAGCTTTGGAATTGTCTCTGTGCAAGCTTCAAAAGATGTCACCACAGTCTGAGAGACACAGGAGCACACCTGCTATGGCCACTAGCATTGGGACTCCATAGCAGATCAGTTGGATGCCTCCATTGCCTTCTGTTCCTGAAGCCTCACCCCCAATTATTTCTCTTTCCGCCCTGTATCCCCATTGAACCTTTGCTCTCTGGTTCCAGCCATGCTCCCTTGCACCTCAGGCAGCCAGCTTCTTTACCTATCTCAAACCCTCCAACAAGCTTATGTTATCCAGCTTCATCCAGATCTGAAACAGGCAGAGGGGTGGGTGAAATGTTTAAGTACTTCAGTAGTTCAGTTTAGAACTGCCTTCTGAGCCTCTGGCTGTGCACTGAGGTAGCCTTTCAGTGCAATCCAGCCCAGTTCACGTCTTGCTGGAGCTGGGGTAGAGAAATGGGTCTGGATCATTTACTCTGTGTAGCCCAGGCTTCCCTGAATCTCTCAGGCTTCCCTGAGCAAGTCCTGTCTTGCCACTTTCCCTTGAACATTCCACCTTTCACTATGCCCATGCTCCCTTGGCATATATCTGCTCCCTCTATGTCTCTCCGACAAGGGTCCTTCAAAATCATACTAACATGGCCAGTAACTCTGACTTTGTTTAACGTAGCTTACCAATAGATAACCTTTGAATAAATTCTGTTACTATTAACTATCAAAACAGTCCATGGTTGGTTTTACAAGCCTTTGTGTGATTTTTTTGAAGAACTGGATATGGGTATGTGGTGATTTTATTTTGGAAATTAAAGGGAATTTGTTATGGATGTAAGGAATCTGTTAGCATGTTTGAGTATTATGATTGAGTGATAAATCCTGGGAGTGTTAATGTTTACTATAACTATTGATTTCTTTGATATTTTGTGTCTGCATTGATACAAAATGTTGAGAAACTGACTCTAAGTTACCAGTTTTTGAAGTGAGACTAAGATAAGATTTAAAGTGTATTTATCGCTCTTTATCTTTGCATGGTTCTGTTTTGTGTAAATGTTACAAGGCTGATTTTTGATCTTTGGTGTATGTATAAAGAATGTTTTCAGTAAAAGAAATTGGATAATTTTGCTCTATTAACTGAGGAGGCAAACAGTTGTAAAATAGCTGCTTCAAAATGCTAGCAAGTATGGATTGGTCATCAGTAAGAAGATGACAAAATTGATTTTTTTAAAATAAGAAATCAATTTAAAATTAAATAGAAATCAACTTAAAGGGAAAGAAGATCTTTACATAATCTATTTATGAAATGTGGTGAGTCATGGCAACACTGAAGTAGGGCTGAAGCTGACTGGTGAAACAAGTGACAACTTCTGGAAGAAAAAGGATAGTGATTCTTACCCAGTTTCACTTCCACCCCATCTCTCAATTATGACAAAATGAAAATTCTAAATAAGTGCACATGACACCTTGAAACAGACTTATAAGACATGGCCAGATAATTTTCACATTAATTATTTTTGTTGCTTTCAATTCTGATTGTTCAGAACACCCTGGTTGGAGCTTTATCTTTTTCCTATTTGGTAGTAATTGAATTGACTCTTGTATTTTTATGGTGAATAAGCTATTGTGGTTCTTCTGTCTTTTCTTTCTTGTTTGTGCACAGACATCATTGATGGTGTCAGCACAGGTCTGAGAGAAGTGTTTATTTTTTTCCAGTACCTTGAATTCTTTATGATGGATATCTGTCTTGGCAGGCCCTTTAATACACCACAAAACATTGTAGAACTTTTGTAAACAGTAGCTGATTTGTGAGGTGTGTGTTGGTTCAATTCTTGGCTATGCTTAAATTTTTTTTTTAAACTCTGGAGCACATTCCCCCATCAGAGTAGAATAATTTTAAACCTGGACTACATGACAAGTGCCACTTTAAGCTTTGTGATTCATCTTTGCTGTCTATAGAATGTAGTGTTTAAAAAAAAAAAAAAAAAGATTCCCAAGAAGCAGAGGTGAGACAACAGACTTTCCATCCATCTTACTGGATATTATATTTAAATAGTGATTTAAATTAAATGTTGGTTAGATAATTGTGGTGCTTGAATATTGCCTCCTCTAGATATTTTCTGCCTTTTCTTTGTATTTGGAATGTGCCCAGGAGCAGGATGGTTCCTTTTGCAGACCTCCTAAGGTGCATAGTTTCAGGGCATTTTGGTGGTGTCTAGCCAAAGAGTTTTTGTTTTTAATTACATAGTCATATACTATTTCTCGAATACATATATATATTTTGTCTACATTCTTGGCTAAACATATAGTATCGTGTAATACATCTTTTACATTATTGCACACTATTTGTATTGTCCTAATGGTCCATAATACCTTCATTGATTTAGACTCTTAAGTGTAGTCTGCAGACTTTGATTTGGGTTGTAATTTAGATTATAGTTTGATAATTATGATAAATTGTTTTCTTTCTAAGGTATGTATTTTTATGTAACCAGTAGCATGTTCTATGGGCTGGGGCCTTTCTTAGGTGCAATTGAGGAATGAGATAGTGTACTATCAGGCTAATGTACTTTAAGTGCAGTTAAGGCAGCAATAGTTAAGTATGAGATGAATTTAAGTGGCCTGTATATGGCAGCAAATTTTCATTTTTTTTGTTATTGTTTCCTACTTTATAGGGTTGCCAACTTTCTATCGCACAAAACTGAACACCCTAGCCCTGCCCTTCCCTGAGGTCCCACCCCTGCCCTGCCCCTTTCCCAAGGCCACGCCCCTGCTCAGTACATTCCCCCTCCCTTGGTGGATTGCTCTCCCCCACCCTCACTCACTTTCACTGGGCTGGGGCAGGGGGTTGGGGTATGGGAGGGAGTGAGGGCTGTAACTAGGGGTGCAGGCTCCAGGGTGGGGCCAGAAACGAGGGGTTCAGGGTGCGGTGGTGGTGGGGCTCCTGGCTGGGGCAGAGGGTTGGGGTGCGGGCACCAGCTGGGAGTGCGAGCTCCGGGGTGCAGCTGGGATGAGGGGGTTTGGGGTACAGGAGGGGGCTCCAGGCTGGGGGATGGGGCCAAGGGATTCAGGATGTGGGAGGGGGCTGCGGGTGGAGAAAGGGGGTGTTAGAGGGGGTACAGGCTCTGGGCTGGGGGTGTGGGCTCTGGGTTGGGGCTGGGGATGAGGGGTTTGAAGGGCAGGAGCGGGTTCCAGGTTTGGAGGGGTTCAGGGCGGGGGCAGGGGGTTGGGGCTCGGGGTTGGGGCACGAGCTTACCTCGGGCGGCTCCCGGTCAGTGGGGCTAAGGCAGGCTCCCTGCCTGTTCTGGCATCGCGCTGCACCCCGGAAGCGGCCAGCAGGTCCGGCTCCTAGGCGGGGGGCCAGGATGCTCCGTGTGCTGCTCTCTCCCGCAGGCACCCGTCCCCCCCCCCAGCTCCCATTGACCACGGTTCCTGGCCAATGGGAGTGTGGGGCGAGGACAGTGCGTGGAGCCCCGTCCTCTCTTTACCTAGGAGCCAGACCTGCTGGCCACTTCCAGGGTGCAGTGCGGTGCCAGGGCAGGTAGGGACTAACTTTCCTTAGACCCGCAGAACTGCCGACTGCACTTTTAACGGCCTGGTTGGAGCTGTCAGGGTGCCTTTTCAACCGGGCGTTCTGGTTGAAAACCGTATACCTGGCAACCTTACTATTTCAGTGTGGTATGTTTTGTAAACACAGTTTATTATGTACATATAAATGATTTTTGTGGCCTTTTTCTGGCATTCATAGAGTAGTAGGCAACACTGCAAAATGTTATCCAGATGTCCCTATAATTATGGAAAAAATATATCAGAGGGAGAGGATGCAATGAGGTAATTATAGACTGCAGTGTAATCTATATCCACAAAGGGGCAGAGTTATGGATTTACATACAACAGTGCTTAAGCATACAATCTTAGTGTTCTCTTCTCATAGTTTTTTATTGAATAAAAGTTAATTCACATTACTGCTATTAAAAGTAATATCCTCTAACGTGATGTTCTAATATATATAAGAAGGCCTCATTGCTTTTATGGTCAGTTGGTACATAGTGCCTTTGCAATGCCAGGGCCTTTGTTATGTATGGGATTGGAGGCACAATTAAAGAATTGAAATGTTGGCTGAAATTGAATTGTCTGTCAATTCAACTTCCAACCTTAGCACTAGATCAGAACACATTGAAGTCAATGGGAGTCTTTTTGATGACTTCAGTAGGCTTTGGGCCAGGCCTTTAATGAAGGTCACCCATTAGGATATGCTCTTGAGATTTTTAGATAGGTAAAATTGTCTCTGAGCCTAGATTACACTACGCAGTATCTGCGTGAGTAAATTTTGTTTTTAAAGAGTCTAGTACAAAACAGATTTGACACTTTGCTTAGTCCAGGCTGTCAAGACAAAAATGTAATGATTCCATTTTGGAAATAAGTTTGAGTATAGGGGGGTGCTAAACACTGGTAACAAAGAACTCTGTAGTGTATATAGAACCATTGGATAACAGGGTCCCTAAATACCAAAGCCAACTCTGCTTCCCTGCAAAAATAAAGATTTGAATAGCTACAGACCAAAAAGTTAATGTGATACTTGTAGGTGTTTATAAAATGTGTCTGATACATTACTTTGTCAATATTTCAGTATTTATCTGTCTCTGCGTGGCAATGATAATACATTATACATACTGCAGACGTCTACTTTAGCACCTCACAGTGTTTCTTTTAATTTAAATTTAGGATTCATTTGATCAAAGACAAAGATGCCATAGATCATTATTTGGCGATGAATATCAAAGGGTTGTCAAAACAAGAGGCTGCTGCGTAAGTATGGCCTTTTTGAGGCATTTTAACATACAGTAAGTTTATTGTTTCCTTTGTTTCTAGTCATCATATTCAATAAAATCTGAAGTTCCCCAGGCCTTACACCTTCCTGAGTGGAACTTGGAACTTAAAAATGATGTTTCACTTCTACTGATCTTATGTGTATCAAAGCATTTAATCCTATGGTTTTATTAATTCTCATTTTTACTGAGGTTATATCACATTTCAAACATTATAGCTAGGATTGTGTCAGTAATTATATTTGAAATCATCTTTAAAAAAAAAAAAAGCCTGTGTGAAAACATCTCCTGTGGGTCTGAAGTTTTGTGAACCAAAAATAAATGTTCTTGTAATACCGAATTAACATCTAGCCAATCCCCACCTCCAAATGCTGATTTTAAGATGCAGCATTTCATACACCATTAATTCTTCAAAAAGCTAATGACTGAAAGCACACTAGATATATTTTTATTTCTTACTGCTGGGATATTTATATTTAAAAATTACAAAAGACTACACTTTTTCTGCAGCGCTTTATCAGATTTGGGATTTGGCTCCATCAGAATTAATGAAGGGATCCTAAAAATTTGGAATTACTAGTAGCTTAAAGTGGGATTTATTTCTTTCAATATTTAAATAATAAAAAGATGCCTCTACAAAGTTAATTAACTATTAATATTACAACATAACCCCATCAGTGTTAAAATAATCCCTCAATCCGACATATTTTAAAAAAAAGTACTTGTCTCCTCTTCTACATTTCAGGAACATACCCTCAACTCTGTCTCCACACTCTGGCAAATACATGTCTTTTGCAGCATGCCCTGAAGGTTCCCAAATTCAGGCTATTTCTGACCAACGAAATGGGTATAACAAGTTCAAGAGTCTTAACAGAGAATGGGCTGCCAGCATTCCCCATTTCTTTTGTAATGTTCTGGATTCAGCTTGAGTGCTTCCGTTTACCATAGCTGTGGCAGATTCAAGAATTGCTCAAGCTCTCTAATGTGTCAGCAGGAAAGATCCTAATGTATCTTAGGAAGGATGTGTTGAAAAAGCAGTTTATGTTAAAATAAACTTGTTCTTTTCCTTAGAGTTGGGAAACTACTGGAAGATGATGGACTACAAATAGATCCAAATTATGGGGCAGATTATGACTCTTTGTATATAGTACAAAGGACTAGAAGGATGTAAGGGTGCTCCTTTTCCTTATCTGTGTGAATTATCTGTATCATAGGTCACAGTGTGAGATGGAGAGCAGGGGCAGAGAGCGGGCAGAACCTGTTCCTCTGCATCTTTGTGCTAGCTAGCACAGATGGTGAAGGAATCTGTGTCAAGTGTAAGGACTGGCTTGGATTACTTCCCTAATGGGGAGAGGGGGAAACCAGGGACCAGGCTGTCACTTTCTAAATCACAGTATGATCCCTGGTCTGCTCCTGGGTCTTACCCTTACTTAGGGGTTCTGGCACAGCCACAATCTAGACCTATTTAAATAATAAATCTCTCCCTGGACAACTCTGTGGGTACAGATGGCCTGAATGAAGTGGAGCTAATGTGGTTCCAGTGTGCAGGGGGAGGAGGAGCAGAATACAGAGATCATAGAGAGGAAGAAACATGTATTCACTCATTATTACCCTAGCAACATGGAAGGGGAGAACACTAGCCATGGAGGGCTACCACAGCTTTGAAACTGCAACAGTGGTTGCATACTGGCTTTGCTTCTTAATGGCGGAGGTTTGCTTCTCTGCCTGGCCCCATGTGGATCTGCCCAGCACACAACCTATGCAGGGAAAGAACTGTCTTCTCTGTCCAACTTTGGGAAAGCTCTCATGCCTCTATATTGTAGGGTTCTAATTTGATGAGATCTACTTTCAGCCATAATAAAGAGATTTTTTTACACATAAACCATGAGTTCTAAAAGAGTGTTGAAGTTGTAAGACAGGAAAAAGCAAGGAAATCCACAGTGGAGTGAGAAATGTACCATCTGTCCTTTAGTACTGGGACACACTGGGGTACAGTAACACAACATGCTGCTTTCAAAATTATTAAAGCCTTTTGATGGATTAAAACTGAAATATCATGTAATTAATTGGGTGTATCTTTATTCGTATGTTAGAAGTGAACCTCCTTTAAATGGTTATGTTGATTTTTCTTATCTTTAGAATTTTAATGAATACTAATAGTAACTCAGAAGAAAGTAACAACCTCACTTCTACATACAGTTTATCAGTGCTGTCCTGTGTACCTACCTAGTACATCCACAGGGAAATGTCAAAAGAATATTAACACAGTACATCAACTAGAGAGCTGAGGTGTATTTATTAAGTTTATCTAGTTATATAAAAAGGAAAATTAAAGTCAGTCAGCTGCCATATCTCTAAATGGTTTCATTGCAGCCTAATTTGTGCTTTGTATTGGTCAACAGACTACAGATACTTTTTATTAAAGAAACTGCAGGAAAACATTTATATTTTGTCGGGTAATTCATTTTTTCCCTCCTAAGCATGGATTATTATATTTATTTTACTTAGGACCTTATTGTATATTGAAATAAAGGGGAAGGATATTATCCACTTGCCACCAATTCTCTAGTGTTCATATTTGAAATTATTTTAAAAGATGTTATCAGATTAGATTTGGTCCAAATTTTAAGTGATGTAAAATGAAACTTTTTCAAAATAGTTAAGCTTGCTAGAAATATTGCTAGAATTAAAACAAGAAAGAAAAGATTTTTGTAAGCAAGTGTTCTGCTGTGTTAGCAACCCCAACATTACAACACTAAGAACCTAAAAGTGAAAGACTATTTTATATTAAAAAAAATAGTGAAATTGACTCTCTTGAATTTCATCATCCAAGCTGAGAGAATTACAAAAAAGTAAACAGAGCATAATCAGTTACAAGTGAACTGGAATTTTAAAATTCTTTAACATCTAATTATCTAGATCCCAATTGTGGAACTTGTAATCCTTCTAGAGAACACTCAGATATGTCTATACTTTGAACTGGGGGTGTGATTCTCAACTCAAGGAGACGTACTTTCGCTAGCTCTCATTGAGCTAGTGCACTAAACATAAAGTGTATCTGTGGCAGGATGGGCTAGCTACCCCAAGTATGGGCCTAGGGTCTCAGATGGGCACATACTCTGGGTGGCTAGCCCCTCCCTCCAGCTCAAAGTATAGACATACCCAGTGTCAGTGGTACTACTCATGGAAGTATGTGCTTGCTATCATGAGTCAAGGTTGTCCTAATTGTGATAGCTGATGGATTCCTTCACCAAGTAGTTGAAGAACCAACAAGAAGGGATGCCATTTTAGATTTGGTTTTGATGAGTAGTGAGGACCTCATAGAAGAAATAGTTGTAGGGGACAACCTTGGTTCGAGTGATCATGAGCTAATTCAGTTCAAACTAGATGGAAGGATAAACAAAAATAGATCTGGGACTAGGGTTTTTTATTTTAAAAGGGCTAACTTTAAAGAATTAAGGAAATTAGTTAGGGAAGTGGATTGGACTGAAGAACTTGTAGATCTAAAGGCGGAGGAGGCCTGGAATTACTTCAAGTCAAAGTTGCAGAAACTATCAGAAGCCTGCATCCCAAGAAAGGGGAAAAAATTCATAGGCAGGAGTTGTAGACCAAGCTGGATGAGCAAGCATCTCAGAGAGGTGATAAGAAAAAGCAGAAAGCCTACAAGGAGTGGAAGATGAGAGGGATTAGCAAGGAAAGCTACCTTATTGAGGTCAGAACATGTAGGGATAAAGTGAGAAAGGCCAAAAGCCATGTAGAGTTGGACCTTGCAAAGGGAATTAAAACCAATAGTAAAAGGTTCTATAGCCATATAAATAAGAAGAAAACAAAGAAAGAAGAAGTGGGACCGCTAAACACTGAGGATGGAGTGGAGGTTAAGGATAATCTAGGCATGGCCCAATATCTAAACAAATACTTTGCCTCAATCTTTAATGAGAAGCTTAGGGATAATGGTAGGATGACAAATGGGAATGAGGATATGGAAGTAGATATTACCACATCCAAGGTAGAAGCCAAACTCGAACAACTTAATGGGACTAAATCGGGGGGACTCAGATAATCTTCGACCAAGAATATTAAAGGAACTGGCACATGAAATTGCAAGCCCATTAGCAAGAATTTTTAATGAATCAGTAAACTCAGGGGTTGTATCGTACGACTGGAGAATTGCTAACATAGTTCCTATTTTTAAGACAGGGAAAAAAAAGTGATCCGAGTAACTATAGGCCTGTTAGTTTGACATCTGTAGTATGCAAGGTCTTGGAAAAATTTTTGAAGGAGAAAGTAGTTAAGGACATTGAGGTCAATGGTAATTGGGACAAAATGCAACATGGTTTTACAAAAGGTAGATCGTGCCAAACCAACCTGATCTCCTTCTTTGAGAAGGTAACAGATTTTTTAGACAAAGGAAACGCAGTGGATCTAATTTACCTCTATTTCAGTAAGGCATTTGATACGGTTCCACATGGGGAATTATTAGCTAAATTGGAAAAGATGGGGATCAATATGAAAATTGAAAGGTGGATAAGGAACTGGTTAAAGGGGAGACTACGATGGGTCATACTGAAAGGTGAACTGTCAGGCTGGAAGGAGGTTACTAGTGGAGTTCCTCAGGGATCGGTTTTGGGACCAATCTTATTTAATCTTTTTATTACTGACCTTGGCACAAAAAGTGGGAATGTGCTAATAAAGTTTGCGGATGACACAAAGCTGGGAGGTATTGCTAATACAGAGAAGGACCGGGATATCATACAGGAAGATCTGGATGACCTTGTAAACTGGAGTAATAGTAATAGGATGAAATTTAATTGTGAAAAGTGCAAGGTCATGCATTTATGGATTAATAACAAGAATTTTGGTTATAAATTGGGGACACATCAGTTGGAAGTAACAGAGGAGGAGAAGGACCTCGGAGTATTGGTTGATCACAGGATGAGCTGCCAATGTGATATGGCTGTTAAAAAAGCTAATGTGGTCTTG